AAGGAGACATATTACTTTTCCGACAAACATCTATGTAGTCAAAGCTATGGTTTTTCCAGTATGGATGTGAGAGTTGGACCAGAAAGAAAGCTGAGCACTGCAGAATTGATGCTTCTGAACTGTGGTGTTGGAGAAGACTCTTGAGAGTCCCTTGGACTGTGAGGAGATCCAACCAGTCAATCCTAAAGGAGATCAGTCCTGAATATTCATCGGAAGGACTGATACCAACGCTGAAGCTCCAATACTTTGGCCACTGCATGCAAAGAGCCGACTCATTGGAAAAGACCCTGATGCTGAGAGGGATTAGGGGCAGGAGGTGAAGGGGTCGACAGAGGATGAGATGGTTGGATGGCATCACCAACTCAATGGACATGAGTATGAGCAAACTCTGGGAGAGGGTGAAGGACAGGAAAGCCTGAGGTGTTGCATTCCATGGGGTTGCAAAAAGTTGGACACGACTGAGGGCCTGAACAATACAATAGCAACAGGACTGAGCTTAATCAGTGTGCATCAGTGTACTCTTGAAGTTTTCCAGAAGTTAAGGAGTAGGAAGGTGCAATCAAAGTAAAAGCTGCTTGCAACTTCAATTAAGAAACAAGTGAAGGAACACATCTGTCTCATCACGAAGTTACCCTGTGTGTGTGTTGTGAGTGAGATAAAAACATTTAAAAGCTATGTTCTAAGCGAACGACAAGTATACTTGATATATTATTAATTATAGTCACCACACTGTTCATTACATCTTTCTTTAAATCACAGGATCTCTTCAGGTAATTGTAGCTTAAAACACATACACACACACACACACACACACACACACACACACACACCCCTAGTAGTTCAGTCAGGAAAGAATCTGCCTGCAATGCAGGAGACCCAGGTTCAATTTCTGGATCAGGAAGATCCCCTGGAGAACGGAATAGCAACCCATTCCAGTATGCTTTCCCAGAAAATCCCATGGACAGAGGAGCCTTGTGGGTTGTGAGTTACAGTCAATGGGGTTGCAATAGTCGGACACTACTGCACGGCTAAATAAAAATAACAAAGGACTCATTTAAGTCAATAAAGCTTTGTTTTTGAAACTGGGTATCTGCTTATGTTGAGGACTCTGCAAGTCTCAAGCATTTACTCAGTGATTATTTGTTTTAGATTCAAAACGTAGCAAACATAACGCCTTGCTGTTTAGATAGCTCCCTGGGAAAATCAGTAGAAAAACATAATACTGTAACAATCTATAAATGGATGACCAATCTTAAATTCACAAGTTTGTGAACCATGAACACTTAATGCTTATGACAGGAACTTGTTGAAGGCTAGTCATATGACCCTCATTTTTTAATTGTCTAGTTTAATTCTGTCTCAAACACAAATAAAGAAAGGGGGACAACAACCATAACAAAATGAAACCTGTGCCAGGAAAAAGAGACACAAATATACACACAGATGGATTTTGCATAAAGTACATAAGTACAAGGGATATTCAGTGGAAAATAATAAATGTGTGGAGCAAAGTTGTAAAAATTGGATATCCATTTGCCAGAAAAAAAAAAAAAAGAACTTCATTCATCACTCCATGTGTTACAACTAACACAGAGAGATTTATAGACCTGTATGTAAGACCTAGACCAAGAAGTACTCTAGAGGTAAAACATGGGTGGAAGCTCTGTGACCTAAAACTAAGAGGTTAGTGATTAGAAAATACACCAAAACAGATTCAACCACGGGGAACAATATGTTAGTAACCTGATCTTGATCAACACAGAAATGTTTACAAACTTCACGGATACCCTTAAGGAAGGATAAGATAAGCCTGTGGCCGGGGGAAAATATTTGCACATATTCTATCTGAAAAAAGGACTTGTATCCAGAATACATTAACAATCTCCAGCCTTTAAAATAAGCAAACACATAACCTACTGGGTAATGACTAAATGACTTGCAGAGACACTTAACCAAAAAAAATAGGCAAATGGGAAGTAGAGACATTGTAAGATGTCCCATGTCTTTATTTCTTCAAGAAATGGAAGTTACAACTGTAACTGGATGCCATTATGCACTTATTATAACATCCGAAATATGAAAACAATAATATGAAAACAGCTGGTCACACCAAGTCCTGGCAAAAACCTGGAGCACAGGTAGTTCCATTCACTGTTGGCAGGACTCTAAAATCCTAAGGCACTGAGATCTAGTAGTTCTAACCGTAAATGTCTACCTGGGAGATAAGACGGCTGAGTTCATTACAAAGACTTGTCCATGAATCTGTATCCATCAACATTTGAATGGGTAAAAATGGAATAAATCCACACTTTCACTGGTGGCTCAGAGGTAAAGGGCACAGATGCAAAGGCTGGCGGTGTGGGTTCCATCCCTGGGTTGGGAGAGTTCCCCTGGAGGAGGAAATGTCAAGGCAGTCCAGTATTCTTTCCTGGGAAGTCCCCTGGGCAGAGGAGCTGGGTGGGCTAAAGTCCATGGGGGTGCAAAAGAATTAGATGCACTTAGTGACTAAGCATACACATATCACTTTGCCCAAGCAAGATAATACTATGCAGGACTAAGTGGGAACAGAGTCTACAAAAAAATGCAGATGATTATTAAAATAAATATGCTAAGTGAAAGAAGCCAGAGACACACACACGCAGAGATTCAATTTGTTGGAAAATTCTGAAGAACACCAAATAACTGATGTTGGTGTCAGAAAACTGAAGAGTGTGTTCCCAGGACTGGGTGGGATGAGGTTAAAAGGGGACGGAGATAAGGACGACCAAAGCATCCCAAGTATAGTTTTGAACTGGACAGATATGCTCACCATGCTGATTAAGGAAAAGATATCACAGCTCTATTCATCCAAAGTTTATCAACTGTACCACTAAAATATATGAACTTTTGTTGCATCTCAGATAATACTTTTAAAAGCTCATCTTTCACTTCAGCTCTAGAGTTCAGTTCAGTTACAGAGGTTCAGTTCAATATCTGTATTTTTATATCTCTAATCACTATCCATCCGTTTACTTTTTTTTTTTTTTAATTAATAGGGCTGGTATCGTCCTGAGAGCAAACTGAGTATTATTTAGAGAGACGTTGCCCATGTTTTCTCTAATTTAGGTCCCCTAAGGCAGGGATAAGTTCAGGAGGAAGGTTGAAAGAACATGCATCTTAGTATCAGGAGCTACATGTAAGGCAGAAACCTTACCCACTGAAGTGAGACTAGGTTATATCCACAAGGCAAGATGAAATTGTAGAGATGAACTTTGGAGGAATACTTGAGTAGGCTAGAAGATAAGAATTTTCTCCTGTTGAAAGTACTTTGTTAAATTAAAATATATGTGAAAAAGTTGGCTTAAAGCTCAACATTCAGAAGGCTAAGATCATGGCATCTGGTCCCTTCACTTCATGGGAAATAGATGGGGAAACAATGGAAACAGTGAGAGACTTTATTTTTGGAGGGGTTCAAAATCACTGCAGATGATGACTCAGTGATGAAACTAAAACATGCTTGCTCCTTGGAAGGAAAGTAATGACCAACCTAGACAGCTAATTAAGAAGCAGAGACATTACTTTGCCAACAAGTTCCATCTAGTCAAGGCTAGGGTTTTTCCAGTAGTCATGAACGGATATAAGAGTTGGACTATAAAGAAAGCCAAATGCTAAAGAATGGATGCTTTTGAATTGTTTTGTTGGAGAAGACTCTTGAGAGTCCCTTGGACTGCAAGGAGATACAACCAGTCCATCCTAAAGATTAGTCCTGAATAGTAACTGGAAAGACTGATGCTGAAGCTGAAACTCCAAAATTTTGGCCAACTGATAGGAATAATTGACTCATTTGAAAAGACCATGATGCTGATAAAGATTGAAGGCAGGAGGGGGAGGGGACAACAGAGGATGAGACGGTTGGATGGCATCACCAAAGCTGTGGACATGAGTTTGAGTAAACTCCAGGAGTTGGTGATGGGCAGGGAGGCCTGGCGGGCTGCAGTCCAAGGGGTCACAAAGAATTGGACAAGACTGAGCGACCGAACGGAGCTGACCTGAACTGACAGATAAGTTGCTGGAGAAATTAGAAATCTGTATGCCAAAAAAGCACAAAAACTTCATCCCATTCATTACTCAATGCTTTACAACTAACACAGAGAGACTCACATAGCTATATGTAGGACCGAAAGTAAGAAAGACTCTGGCAGTAAAACACAGGTGGATACTCTGTGACCAAAGATTAGGCGGTTACTGATTAGAATACACACCCAGAAGGAGCCTTCAGTGGGAAGAGTAACCAGGCCTCTATCCAGATATTTAACTAGTGGTTAGAAGTGTGGGAAGGGGCCCAGAGGTAAGGTAAGAGGAGGGCAATAAGAGGTACAAACTCCTGTGTATAAAATAAACAGTGTATAAAGATATATGGTACAGCATAGGGAATAAAGCCTATATTTTATAGCTATGAATGGAATATATAAAAATTATGAATCACTATATGGGTACACCTCTAACTTATATAATTTGGTACATCAACTATATCTCCATTTCAAAACAAAAAATGTAGACTCCTCTGAGGGATGTCTTGACAATTCCTGGTAAAGAAGCCACATATTGATCTTTTAAATCAGTTTATACTGTCTTTAGTTTTAGGACATAAGCTTAAACTGACCTTCAAATGCTAATAAATAACATGAGGGTTTGGGCTATGAGTCTTGGACTGTTTGTCCCATTTTGGAATCTGAAGAAATAAAAGGATAAAAGTATCAGTGTCTTTGAAATACCTTGTATGTTCTCTAATTTGTCATTTAATTGGAAGGCAATTGTCCATATCTAACTAAACTTCCCTTAAAATGAATCTCTTTGTAAAAACCACAGATTACAAAATAAATAAATAAATAAATAAAACCAACTCACCAGTCAAGCAGGATATCAGAAGATAACATCTAAGTAACCAAGATCTTGTGATTTACCACTGTTTGATCATTATGTACTCTGCCAAGAGACCCATCCTATAAGAAGAGGGACAAATTCACAACCTCTCCAACACCTGGGGCACCTTCAGCTTCTGTAGAAGAACCACGAGAGTCACAAGATGAAGACTGTGTTCCTGACTCTCCTGGGTCTGGTCTGTGCTGCCCAGGAACCTCCAACTGAACTAGAACCCTCACAGGTACCCAACTTCAGCTGATCTGAGGGAAGGTCTTGGTCTGTGAGTGTGTGTGTGTGTGTGTGTGTGTGTGTGTGTGAGAGAGAGAGAGAGAGAGAGATAGTCTTGTTCATATGTATGATCAGATTGTATAGATATGCCATGCTCCACCTATTTGCATGAGCGTAATACAACCCTCTGTATTTCTGCTATTTGCATTTTTTTCAATGTATTTGTCTCTATGTGAAAAAAAAAAAGAAAAAAGCTATTACCATATACTTAAGGACGAATGAACTACTATGGTATTTAATATTCCTCTTTTAGCTATTTTAAGAAACCCAAACTCTATGCGTTCTGCTCGAATATGAATGATTGTTTCATGTCATGTTATTCTGCAAGGCAGGAGGTAGAATCCTACTTTGTCTAATAAGATTGAATTTTCTTCTCTTCTGNTGCAAAGACTGAGTGATGTTTATGGAGACCTTCCTTCTTAGATTACAGGAGACTGGCGCAGCATTCTCACGGCCGCAGATAACAAGGAGAAGATTGAGCAAGGAGGCCCTCGGAAGGTATACATCCATCGGCTTGAGTGTACTGACAAGTGTTCTTCGGTAGCTATTAAATTTTATATCAAGTAAGCACAACCTCCCTAAACTGAAAACAGTGAGACTGCTGACTTCTGACATGGGGTCTGGTCTCCAAAGTGCAGTGAGCGGTGTGAGGCAAGGCTGTGAAGATGCGTGTGTGAACTCTATCAACGGATGAGTGTCCTCAAGCTCTGGGAAACAGATGAGGACAAAGGAACACCTTGTCTGTTTGCTTTTCAGGTTTCAAGATGCATGCTTATTACTCAATGCAGTTGCAGAGAGAGACGGGGAAGTCTATCACACAGGATGTGAGTATGCCAACTCTGCTGATGTGTGCCTCTGCCCAAGAATGTTAGATGCTCATGTGACCCCACGGACTCGAGACTGCCAGGCTCCGCTGTCCAGGGGATGCTGCAGGCAAGAAAACTAGAATGGGTTGTCATTTCCTACTCCAGGGGATCCTCCTGACCCTGGGATCGAGCCCAACTCTCCTGCATCTCCAGCAAAGCCAAGCGGATTCCTTATTGCCGAGTCACCTGAGAAGCCCCTTATTTACCTCTCGAGAGCAAATTTTCTTTAACGAAAGAAATCCTTTTAACATGAAAAGTTCTTTTCTAGCATGTTGAAGAAGTAGAACCTGATTCATTTAAATCTCAGAAATAGAGAACTGTCAAAATGACAGGAAAAATTTCACACAAAGTTTTACACAATATGAAATCAAAAGGGACACTGGCTCAGACCTCAATCTCTATAGTTTCAAATTTAGAAAGAACTCTCAATAGCAATACTGTAATGTCAAGTAATGAAAAGTACCTACTTGAATTCATGGGGAAAATACACCAGGCAACATTCTAATCTTGGTCAGAGGCATGTTTATGGTTTGTTTGCTTGTTTATTTATTTCATCTGTGGCCATTGGACACAGGACATAATTAGGAAACATTTCAGAGTATATATCTCTAACATCTGGCAATACCTTCATTTCTACCTCTCTGATTACCTCTGTTCCAGAAGGTAACTTTGGTTAATCTATTAAGCCTTATTTTCACATGATTTCCTGAAATTTAAAGAATATCTTTGTAATCATGACTGTACTTATGAATTTGGTCAAAACACTCCTGAAACTTTGACAATTAGCTCTTGTGAGCTCATGTGAGATGATTGAGGACCAACACCTACTCTAGTTGCAAAAACCAACTTTGCTATTGTTCACAGACTGTTTGGTCTAGAAGACTGGAAGTCTTTACTGTCTTAAGATGAGGGGTGTGTGGAAAAAGTTTTCCAAGTTCACTAGCTCTTTCAACAGGTTCTAACCACAGACCACTAGAAATGCCAGGAAAATAGAGACCACCATCGGAATGAAGACTGATGACAGCATGTGAAGAACATGACATGTACAAATGAAGAGAAATTAATTGCATTGAGATTTGAATTTCTTTTTTCCTATCACAGATATGGGTGCAAATTTTTTCAAACTGATTCCTATGTCAGACAACACATTAGCAATCTACGGTGAAAACGTGGATGGTGTGAAGACTACAAAAGTGACTCAACTTCTCGGTACGTTACTGAAGCTTATTCTGAGCAAATGAACAGTGTTCATATTATCGTTATCTCATTTAAGGACAGAAGTACATGGCCAACTTATATTTTATTAAGCACACTAGAGTAGACTTAAGATCATATGGGAGAATTCAGACTACATGTGCCATGATCCAGGGCTGTGGAAAGGTTGTCCACTAGAAAACTGGAGAAATACATCCACTGGAGATTCTATTGGATGACTTTTAAAAAATTAGATGCACTTACCCAGGAGTTACAATGACATATTCCAGGATGCTACGTGGGTTTCTTGATAAATATCACATATTGGAGTCGCTGGGTTTGGACACCAAAGTGAACCAAGGAAGGAACTTTGAGTTCAGACACTCGTAGGTCCTGGCCATGACTGATTCCTCTTGAATAAAAATGCTTTCTTTTTCTGCCACAATCATTAAATGAATCCCTGAAACTTGAACCCAAGCCCCTATAAACATCCCCGGATCATATAGAATCCTTCAGAAGCAGCCTGTTCAGTCATGTAATCTTTCTGATAACCAGCCAACCACAAGGTGCATCAATTCTGATATTATATCCTCCATGGGGGTCGGTGGAGCGTCTGTGGAAGCTTTGGTGGAGCTTGAATGAGATAAAATGTTAACTATGTGGACTCTATCCCCTGAACATCTGAAGACGTGATGTGAACACTCAGGCACCTCTGTAGAAAATTTTCTGGTGAGCGGGCTTTAAGGCATGGAAGAGGGCAATGGTGTTGATGAGACTGACTGGACATTACACATAGGAGCTGGGGAGACTCTATAAGCTACCAA